TAGCAGCTTATCAGTGGTGACTGTCAGTTAATGTACATATGGCAGAAATGTATGGAAAAATCAATTTAAAGACGTAATCAAACAGACGATGAACACTATTAACAGCAATTATTATATGATGCAATCAAACTTCTAGCACAATTTGGTAGTTCTGTATGTTGTTTCAGAGTTGGCATCATCTGAGGTCCTCTGAGGGGTTGCATCATCTCTTCTCAGGTGTTCTGGATCCAGACTGAAGCTTGTGTAAATCCTAGTAAAACAGAGAATCAAATAGAGACATAATTAGCGTAGCTACTGTTCCAACCAAACAAAATTTATTTGTTTAACCCAAACTGAAGAATACTAATGTGCATTTGATCAGATATAACTGCAGTAAAAGATTATGACTGCAGTACAAGATTATGAGATGCATTATTTGAATGCTTGGCCAAAGAGATGTGTCTTTAATCTAGATTTAGACCGAGAGAGTGTGTCTGAACCCCGAACGTTATCAGGAAGGCTATTCCAGAGTTTGGGAGCCAAATGCGAAAAAGCTCTACCTCCTTTAAACCCCTCCTTAAAGAGGGGTCATTCTTTTCTATACCTGCTGTAAATACAACCAGCATAACCATTTTTTTTAACCAAATCACCTACCCTGCCTTTAAGAACATGTCTCTGAAATGCAGTGGTTTTCAAAACTGTCCTGGAGCACCCCAGTACTGTCTCCCTCATCTAACAAACCATATTCAACTCGTCAGCTCATAAGTAGAGACATTTTAGGACCTGAAGTGGGTCAGAAAAGTAAATAGTTATGAGAAAATATGATGTGTGTCATATCCGCGTCATGTTCAGCAGCAGCAGCTCTTAAAGCAGCCAAAATAACCTAATAACCAGCTGCTGTGATATCTGTTCATCAAAAAAAAAAAAAAAAAAAAGGAAATAAATCGCTTTTGTAGCTTTAAGTGGTCATCTATATTTATTTTGAATTTAGTGTTCGATAACTTTATTCAATTTCTGTATATTTCCTACTTGCTGAAGGGCACAGGTAAATATGTCCTTTATTATAATGGGTTTATGTGAAGATTGTTTTAATTTCACTTAAATTAGAAGTTGTTATTGTTGTGTTTTAAAGTCTAATAAATGTTAAAATTGATAGCTCTCAATTATACTGTAATGTCGAATGGCTATAGTCAATGGTTAAATATCAGAAGAAAAAAAACAATTTCTTTGAGACATCAGTAGTATTGCTTTCAGTGATACTCGCATGCAGTAATAAAAAAGATGCCATTAAACAAATATTAAAATTATACGGTCTTTGTTTCATTAATTTGAAGATTGAATGTAAAATTATTGCAATATAAAAGTGTATATATATATATATATATATATATATATATATATATATATATATATATATATATATATCTCTCGCCCAGAAATGTGTTGTTTTTTCATTATTATGAGTTTATTAATCAGCCAATTCAGTATTGGTGTTTTATGCTATTATGTTATTTAGTTTTCTTTATTTTTAATCAACAAGTGTATTATTATTCTAAAGAATAAAAATGCCTTCAATATCATAATTTCATCAAATTGCCTAAAATAAAACCTTACTCTACTTTTTTTCTCATTAAAACCTTTTCACTTAAAAATGTCATGTTATGGCAGTAAAGTGGATTATAAATACCATACTTAGCCAAGTTTCCATACAGGAACAAAAGCAAAAGCACAAAAAAAATAAACTCTGCTAACTGAATAATTATAGTCAAGCAAATAAATTGCATTCTCTCAAACATAGCCTATTCCACTTATAATGGAATGTATTTTAATTTTAAACATTAAATATATTACCATGTTAAATGCACAATTACTTTGAATGCTTGACCCAAGACATTATCATTATTTCCAATCAACATGGATGTTCCATGCAATATGGTGACTAACAATAATAAAAATGATTCTCCTGATATTTACCAGCAGCATCAGAGTAGATAGATGCTGTATATTTTGACTGAAAGAGAAGCATCAGAAGCACCCGTGGCAAACTTGCAAGGGTTTCCCTGGATTAGACTTTGATTCGCAGGACTGACAACCTTATTATGCGCCGTGCTTGTTATTGATATTACTCTGGGCTCCGTTGCCATGACCACCGCACAAGAGACATTTAATTTTCTCTCCTCCATCATCATTATCTATGAGACCATCTGTTGTGCAAAATGAATTCAGCCTCATTTGCATGACTGATAAGCGCATTCTTTATCTATTTAACAGAAGGTCATATGCCATGGGTTTGGAGGCAGCAAAGGAGAGAGACAGAGAAGTTGTGTGTGTGTGTGTGTGTGTGTGTTTAGGGGGTTGGACGAGTAGGAGTGTGAAACATTATTACCACAGACATTTATTTTGGTGAGTTGACTGTAGTCGCTGTGCTTTGGAACCGTCTGCATGCTTTATTATTCCAGCATCCAACAACGATTAGCAAGAGGGCTAAACGGGGGCCTCCATTGCATTTCACTAGTAAAACACTGCAGCCTGATTGGGTGATTCTCGTACCTGGTATGTGCATAAAACTTCTACTCTGTATCAAATCAGCCATGCTTGCACAAAAAGCATATAGGAATTTGAATACATTTGTATTATTAATTCAAACCCACAATAGGATGCTGAATAAAATTGTCACACGCCCTCTTGTCAACCAGAAGCTGAAATATAGGAATTATTCAGGTCTTCTGATTGCCAGTTTCGAAATGAACTGCTTGTTATTTCAATACTTTGCATTCCCCAGTTACTGTGAGCATGAAATAATTTAATCGTCTTTGCTATGGTAAATTTACGTTCTGAATATGGTAATGTTCGATTCACTAATCTTTAGCAGTTGCATTTGATTTCAGCTGTAAGTGGCACAAATGTCATGTGAACTAAATGTCTATTTTTGCTTGCTGTCTGTTGTGTGGCAGGCTATAAAACCTGACCTAGTTCCTAAAATACATGTGTGCTGTAGCTGTACAGCCCTCCTCATATCAAAGCCAGAATGCCCCACTCCTTCAAAACACAACCTATTTAAACTCATCTGCTGTATTTCTCAAACAATCTCCATTTACAGCTCTGTTTCAGCTATTTTTTTCAGCTCAATATTGGTGAATGTGGTCTGATTTTCCGTTACCATAGGGTTCCTCCTCTCACTGTCTTGCCCATTAACATCACAGCTCTGAGGTTGCAGCTTTCAGCACCAGGCGCTGTCCATTCCACGAGCAATCAGAAACCTTTGGCATCAGTCCACCAATGCAAAAGGATATGATAAGAAAGGCACCACCATAGCCAGTTTTAACCAGTAAACAATGAAATTAAAATTAATGATGCATTTTTTTCTCAGATATTTGGCTAATGTTCTTGCAAATTTTTCTTAAAGGGTACCAGTTATGCCCCATTTTACAAGATGTAATATTAGTCTGTACCTAGAATGTTTAGTTTCAGCTCAAAATACCCCACAGATATTTCATTATTCCATGTTAAAATTGACTATTTTTTACGTTTTGTGCATGTATCTTTAAATGCAAATGAGCTGCTGCACCCCGCCCACTTTTCCAGAAAAGGGCTGTACAATTACAGCTGGTGCCTCTGATCAGTGTTGCCAAGTCTGCAGTTTTCCCGTGGAATTGGGCTACTTTAACACTGTTGCCACGGTCGTTTTCATGTCCGCGGGTTGAAGCGACTCCAATAACATGATATTTATCACCTGGAATGCAAATTTTAGCAGAGGAACCCCGCCAAAAAACGTGTATTTTACCCCCCGGAATGCAATTTTTAACTGGGGACTCCCTCAAAATGCGATTGGGCTAGTTTTGAATAGCGATTTTCTTGTGAAAACCTGGCAATCTTGCCTCAGATACTCAGCCAAAATTAAACATCTGTTTGGTCTTGAATATCATGTCTATCGCGGTCACACTCTTCAGTTAAAACTTCTGATATATGGTTTTCTGAGTGCACACATACGAAGCAAATGCGCATTAAGCTGGCTATCAGATGGGGCATCACTAACTAAAGTAACTAAAGTTTTCTTTCACGTATTATTTTCAGGGTCTGGCGTCTGGTGTTCTCACTCTCACCACCAGAGGTCGCCACTTCCCATCCTCCCGGACTCCATTACCTTGACTCCACACACCTGTGCACACACTCACTCACACACAGCTGTTGCCCATCCTGAGGGCTATTTATACGCCTTCCCCACGCCTCTCTGGGCGGATTATTAGTTGCTAGTAGTTGTACTACTAGTTGTATTAATTGTGGTATCGTGGACTGATGCAAGCCAGAAGTGGTCGTATTGCATCGGATTCCTGTTTCTGTTCAAGCCTGTGTGTCAGAGTCTTAGCTCTGTTTGTTTTCTGTTTTGACTTTGTTTTTCCCCTGCAGTCAAATAAACCTGCATTTGGACCCAGACCCCTGTTTACACGGTGTGTTTCCTTTACCGCACCGTGACAGAATAATCCGCCAAGCATGGGTCCAGCAGGAAGGTTCCTCAATGTCCACCAGGGAGACCGGTGCACTGAGGATTATGCCAGGGACTTCGTGGGAGTGGCTCACCAGTCGGCGACGGAGAGGACCTGCTCAATGGTCTGTTTCTGGGGTGGCCTAGCCGAGCCGTTCAAATCCCTTATGCCATTCTGGCACCCGAGGAGGCACTGGAGGACTACGTCAACCTGGCGCTGCAGTTGAGCGGCTCAGCCATCAGGATGGAGTTGGCTGCAGAGCCTGCTCACAGTTCTACCGAGGCAGCCATCCCAGGGTCGTCAGAGGCCTCGTCTACTGCACCCAGTACCTCACGCCCATTCCTGGAACATCGCGGGCTGGTACACAGCGTGCGGGAACCTCCACTGATGTCGGTGCGAGCGGTGTGGTCTGCTCGCAGATTCCCCGAGGCAGCGGTGTCTGCTCGCAGTTCCCCCGAGGCGGCGGTGCCTGCTCATGATGTTCTCGAAGCGGCGGTGCCCGCTCACGAGGCTCCAGTGGCAGTGGTGTCCGCTCTCAGTTCCCCCGAGGTGGCGGTGTCCGCTCGCAGTTCCCCCGAGGCGGCGGTGACTGCTCACAAGGCTCCAGAGGCGGCGGTGCCCGCTCATGATGTTCTCGAAGCGGCGGTGCCCGCTCATGATGTTCTCGAAGCGGCGGTGCCCGCTCACGATCCTCCCGAGGCCGCGGAGCCCGCTCACGATGTTCTCGAAGCGGCGGCGCCCGCTCACGATCCTCCCGAGGTGCCGGTTCCCACTCACAAGGCTTCAGAGGCGGCGGTGTCCGCTCTCAGTTTCCCCGAGGCGGCGGTGTCCGCTCTCACTTCCCCCGAGGCGGCGGTGTCCGCTCACAAAGCTCCGGAAGTGGCGGTGTCCGCTCACAAAGCTCCGGAAGTGGCGGTGTCCGCTCTCAGTTCGAGGCGGCGGTGGCCGCTCACGATCCTCCCGAGGTGGCGTGCCCGCTCGCAGTTTCCCCGAGGTGGCGGTGCCCGCTCACAGTTCCCCCGAGGTGGTGGAATTCACCTCCGTTCTTTTCAAGGCGGCAGCTCCACACACACCGCTGTGGTGGCCGCTGGTTCTGCCCTGGGTGCCCATTCCACTGGCTCTGCCCCAGTCCCCAGGTCCCCCGCTACCACACGGACCTGGGCCCCCCCTCCCTCCCCCTACTCCATCCCCACTCTGCCGTTCCCCTGGGTGGGCGCTCTGGAACGTCTGGAAGCCATTCCTTAGAGGAGAGGTCCTGTCAGGGTCTGGCATCTGGTGTTCTCTCTCTCACCACCAGAGGTCGCCACTTCCCATCCTCCCGGACTCCGTTATCTTGACTCCACACACCTGTGCACACACTCACTCACACACAGCTGTTGCCCATCCTGAGGGCTATTTATACGCCTTCCCCACGCTTCTCTGGGCGGATTATTAGTTGTTAGTAGTTGTCGGATTCCTGTTTCTGTTCAAGCCTGTGTGTCTTAGCTCTGTTTGTTTTCTGTTTTGACTTTGTTTTCCCCTGCAGTCAAATAAACCTGCAATTGGACCCTGACCCCTGATTACACGGTGTGTTTCCTTTATCGCACCGTGACATTATTGCGCTTAAACTGTCAAGTATACAAAAGGTTATGTCAAAAACACATAAACACAGTCGGTTATGTCTGTGAATGTAAACAGCTGTAAAATAAATCCCAGGTGTATTAGATCTGTGTGGCAGCAGCATAAAGTACAGTACTGTTATGTCTGTTTTTGGGTTTTGTTTCTTGTTTAAGTTTTTATGTATTTTGTTTTGTATTTTCTAGTCATGGTTCACGTCATGTGTTTCCCTTGCCCTCATGTGATCTTGTCACTAGGTGTGTTCGGATTGAAGCGGTACTGCGCAGATCGATTGCTGTATGACATTAAAATATCGCGAGAGTTATTCGAAAGCAAGCAGAGTCATCTGCTCTCTCATAGCTCTCGCAGTATTTTGATGTCATACACCGATGTCTGCACAGAGCCACTTGAAGTAAAACACACCTATTTTGTTCCTTTGCCATATGTGTCATGTTCTCATTGGTTCATGGTCATAGCATGTGGTTATGTGTTCTGGTTGTTCATTGGTTTTGATAGTCATGTGTTCCCCTTGTCTACGTATTTATGCCCTTATGTTTACCATGTTAGTTCGTCATGTATTGTTCTCTGTAAATGCTCTTGGTGAGTTTCTTGTTAATGTTCACGTTTATGTTAAGCCAAGCCAAGCCAAGCCTTTGTTTATTGTTTTTTTCTGCTCACTTTTCAATTATTAGCAAAGCTATGAATTTAGTTGAATGGGTTCGCTCATGAAAATGTCTGAAATGTACATGGAATTCATGGAAATACTGAATAATAACCCCATTAGTAACACTAACTGTTAACTTTAAAAATAGTAACACTAGCAACAACATGCTACTCAAAGACTTCTGTGCTAGTGTTTGGTGGCACATCTTACCCTAAGGGTCTAATTTAATCTTTTTATTTCAAAATAAACTCTCTCTCTCTCTCTCTCTCTCTCTCTCTATATATATATATATATATATATATGAAGAGTTTGGTTCCAAAACGTGATAAACGCCCTTTAAAAAAATTTCCGCAAAATGCAATATCCGCAGAGTTATTCTGTCATGTTTTCTCCCTTTTTTTCCAAACCACGACAAATGCCAGTCTCCCTTTTCTGCAGAATGCGATATATCCACTCAACCAATCACAGCGCACCATTCCACGCACTCTAGACAGTAATGGCGGCGCTTTGAATACACCTGGCTTCCTAGTTTTCCTCATCTACTTTGTACTTTGTGATCAACAAACAAACTTTGGGCTGCACGATAAATCACATATGATTGTCATGTGCATCTCGTCAGTAAAGCTGGTTCTGTGATTAATAGTAAATCTCCATCACGTGCTTTCAGATGGAGTGCATTTAATACACAGAGCCATAGATCACTGCTATTTCGCATTCATAATCACAGATAAGTCGCATTCGATTATGAACGCAATATTGCGTAGCTTGTCAGTGTAAGTGTATTTATTTATGCCATTAATGTTTTTGTTAATACAGTGTATAGCACTAGTCAATTAAAGGGATGTAAGATGGCAAAGATGAATGCACTTTTGGAAGTTGAATGTAAGGGAAATGTCATTTTGGAATTTCTGTGGTATATATATATATATATATATATATATATATATATATATATATATACAGTATATATATATATTACACCACAAATTAAAAAATACTGATGTTTCTACAAATCCACAATAACAGACACACTCACAAAAATTTTTGATATTCAACATAATACAATGTCATATATCACATTTTCCAGACACACAAAATTAGATCATTTAACCTCAAAACTGTTTTGACTGACTAAATCTCACAGATGTTGATATTCAGATGCAGTGGCAAAATTAAAAAGCTAAAAAAAGCATGCTCACATACTGCTGTGAAGGTGTTCTTGTGTCAGTATGAGGAGAATGTTTGGTGTTTTCTGGTTGAGGCAGAGCTCCTGCATGCATCTGTCACAGTTACCACACAACTTAGTGTCAGGATGATGAACAGCCCAGTGATCACATCCACGCACAATCACTCCATCTCATGCAAAACCAAGCACTTTATCTTTAATCACTTCCCTGTCAGTTATTTGATGTCATGTGTTCACATATACAGTGGTGTGAAAAAGTGTTGGCCCCCTTCCTGATTTCTTATTTTGTTTCATGTTTGTCACACTTTAATGTTTCAGATCATCTAACAAATGTAAATATTACACAAAGATAATGCAAGTAAATACAAAATGCAGTTTTTAAATGATGATTTCATTTACATGTCTTGTAATTACCTTCTAATCTAATTTAATATTTTTTTATTTTCAGCATCTGTGGATTAAAGAAAAATAAACTGGATTGTCAGAAGAAAAAAAATCATTCTTGAGTTGAATTTATATTATAATGTATTTATTATGAACAAAACACATAATAACTTTACTGAGAACTGAGCTGACAATAGAATGGCAATTTAACCACAGAATTAAAACTGAAACAATCTCTGAGTGATTTGGAACATTCTACTGTACATTGATGGCAGATTATAGTGCACACAATGACTTCAATGCAACAACTGATTCCAATGGAAACTGACATTATTGATCTTATAAGCATGACAATACAAAGAAAGCTGCGTTTATTTGATCAAAATACAGTAAAAAACAGTAATATTGCAAAATACTGAAATTTCGGCACCATTACTCCAGTCTTCAGTTTCACATGATCCTTCAGAAATTATTCTAATATACTGATTTGCTGCTCAAGAAACATTTCTGATTATTATCAATGTTGAAAACAGTTGTACTGCTGATATTTTTGTGGAAACGGATATTTTATTAGGATTCTTTGATGACTAGAAATTTCAAATGAATGTATATTGAAAAAAACTTTAAAAAAAAAAAAAATAAAAAAAAAATAAATATATATATATATATATATATATATATATATATATATATATATATATTTATAAAAAATACATTTTATGTAACAACGTAAATGTCTTTCACCTTTGATCAATGTAATGTGTCCTTGCTGAATAAAAGTAAAACGATTAATTTCTATCCAAAACAAAAATAAATAAATAGATAGATAGATGTACAGATAGATAGATAGATAGATAGATAGATAGATAGATAGATAGATAGATAGATAGATAGATAGACAGACACATAGACAGACAGACAGACAGACAGACAGATGGACGGAGAGATAGATAGATTGTATTGAGCCCAAACTTTTGAATGGTATAGTGAATATTTTGTAATTGGCATTTCTCTTGTATTATCTTGGATACATTTTTTTTTTGCATAAAATACATGCAGTTCTGCCTTAGAATTTGGGCAAAATAAAGTTTATTATGTCCGGTCGCACAGAAAGCATTTTTATATTAGTGAAGTTATTCAACGTAATTTCGGTAGGAGTACGCCCATCTAATCTTCCAATTAATACCAAGGTATAAAACCAGCATCTTACCTCTTCCCGTTGTTAGTTCTTTCGGCATCGCTCCTCCTCCCCTTCTCCTCCTTTTTTGTACAATTTTGCCTCTTATAGGAGGGCAATCGGAGCTTGAGTAGAATATCCTCTCTGAGCCCCTCTATAGCATACAGCAAGCCAAATCTGTTTACCACTTGTGCTAAGATTATATGGGCACATGAACTCGTGAATATATATTTGAATATACATGCAGTATTCATTATCTAAGTCTTTTTTTTGCCGTGCATACAAACTGCACTGTCAGCCTCTGTTCCGTGTTTTGTGTGTGTTTTGCTTCCTATGTTTCCTTTTGCCCTTATTTGGTCTTCCTGTTCCGTTTCCCTGATTAGGTTTATTTGTCCCAGGTGTTTCCCCGAAATCATTATGTCATTGATTTCAGGTGTTCCTCATTGTGTCCCTCATAGTCCTGTTTTTAATGGTTTCCTGTTTTGAGTTCGCTGTCCAGCATTGTATATGTCAACACTTGCTACGTGTGTTTTCCTTGCTACGTGCAGGTTCCATCCTACGTGTGCCGTCATGGACGCCTGATTATCAGGGTAGATTAGGCCTGTGTAACGGCCCTGACCCCCGGGATGAACACTCAATGGATGGAACAGGAGGTTCCCCTGGGAATGGTCTACAAGAGGAAGGTGATTTTGATAGATGCTTCCAACACGGGTTAGGGAGCTCTGTGCGAAGGGAAACCGACGCTCGGCCACTGGTCGCTAGCGGGAAGCAGTCTGCACATCAACTGCCTCGAAATGTTGGCGGTATGGCGGGCATGGCGGGCCTGTCAAACCTTCCTAACAGACCTCAAAGGACATCAT